GTTTTGTGTTTTACACCTTCCACATACCACCCCCCCCATCACTGTGCCTCCATCCTGCCTTTTCTGTGTTTATCTTTTTCTCACTGTTTGTTTTATTTTAGTACTGATTGGTTATTTATTTATTTATATTTTTTGGGTGAGTCTTTTGCTATTGGGTGTGTGAACTTACCAGAAAGACAGAGAGAGACAGAGAGATAGAAAGCGAGAAATCACCCCCCAGGGAGGATGGGCACGCCGCAATCCCTTCTCCTCCATTCTCCTCTCGGGATCTTGGGTACGCACGCACACGCACCCAGTGTGAGTTTTAAGCCACCGGGTCCGGGACTCGAACCACGGTCGACTATGTAGCAGTCCAGCAACATAGCCATTATGCTAACTGCTGGTCCCAAGGAGGTTATATTTAAAATTTGGAATTCTTTTGGGTTTAGAGATAATGAATTCCTTAATGCCTCTAGTAGGAGGGCAGTAGCAGGTCATCATACACAGTATATTTCTGTAGCAAAATGCATGAATATATGAATAGTCATAGTTGGAGTAATAATCATTAAAATTGCCTTAGATTGATTTTGCTGCTAAATTTGTTTTTGCATTGGTATCAGCAGTTAGCATAATGGCTATGTTGCTGAACTCCCATGTAGCCGACCACGGTTCGAGTCCCGGACCTGGTGGCTTAAACTCACACCGGGCGCTTGTGCGTGCATGCCCAAGATCCCGAGAGGAAAACTGAGGAGAAGGGATTGCGGTATGGCCATCCCCCCTAGGGAGTGATTTCTCACTTTCTGTCTCTTTGTCTCTGGCTGGCTGGCGAGCGCACGTACCCTATAGCAAAAACCTCTCCCCCCCAAAAAATTTGTTTTTGCATCAAACTTGCTTAGAAACAAACTAGATTTTTTAAAAGAGCTTCTTAGATTTTGGAATTGGAGATAAAGGATTTTTAACTTACATATTGTCAAGTGGCTGGTATATTGATTATATACCATATTTTGGAAATTAGGAAGAGTAAGAAATCCTTGGAGTTCAGGTGATAAGGAAGAAAAGACAGCAGGAAATAATATAAACTCGGTCTTGAAAGAACAGGATCTGAGTAGTTAGGAAGAACCCAATATCTGCCTTGCTAGAATAGCTAGGAAAAGAACAGTGGACTAAGGTTTACGTCAACCAAGTTTGGAGTCCTGTTTCTGCTCCTGATAATTTGTGACCTTAAGCATACAAACCTTTCTTCTTTCCTTCTTTTTACTAAAATTTCCTTCTTCCTTCTACTTCTATTCTGATCCATTCCCTCCCCTCCCTTTTCCCCTTGATCCACCCCCCCTTCCTTCTTTCCCCTTTCTCCTTCACGTTAGTCATTTATAAATGCCCGTAGTGGTTGTAAAGTATCCTACACAGGATTAGGCACGAGGTTTCCAGTAAATGGCAGTTGTTATTTTCATAGCAGTTCACAGCTAAAAAAAGATTTCAAAAAACGTCTCACTTATTCTTCAAGGCAATTTGCTAAAACATTGCTAAAGTTTACACCGAGGGGCACTTTTGTCACAGCTACACTGTAGTGGCTGGGCCTGTTTGTGTCTTTATACTTGGCAACTAGTATAGGGTCTGGTATCGAATTAAGGGAATGTTTGATTTTATGTATTAACATATTTTATTAAACTAATCTGTGCCAGCCCTGCCTAGTTGGTGCGTTCAGTTGTGTACGGTACTGTAGTACTGGAAGCCACATGGCTAGTCGAGGATTTGGATCCTCAGCCTGGTTGGCCTGAGCATCCTAGGTATATGCCCATAATCCTGATGTGCTGGGGAAAGGGGTCCTGGCTTGAGGAAAAACTATAAAGGACGTTTCTCTGTCTCACGCTCACATGCGCATGCGTTCTCTATCATGAATAAAAATTATAATTTGTGCAGACTGATGACATACTTGACAATTTCTATTTTTTGCCTGTTCGCTAATTGTGCTCAGTGGAAGAGCAGATCAGAAGTGACGAGAGACTTTGTTCTTCATAATGTCTAGTGCAAACTGTCTTTAAGTCTTTCTTATTTTGACCATACTAACTGTGATACCCACGAAGACACTTAAGTGTAGGATTCTAAAGACTAGAATCATTCCATACGATAAATATATATATTTCCTACCCAGAAACATTTTATCCTAACTTATTTTAACTATTTTGACTGTTTACGTAGTACTTACTAGATTCAAAAATGTGAGGGTAATTTTTGTTCCTTATAAAAAAAAAAACCTCATGCAATGATGTGTTTCAAAATGAGTGTAGGGACGGGTGGCAGCTACCAGGGTTAAAGAGCGAATGGTGGGACTAGGTGGCAGTACAGTGGTAATGTAGAGCTCTTCAAGGCCGACCCATGTGGGGTCCTGGTTTGTATCCAGAGACCTCCCCAAACATGCAGGACATACGAGTGCCTATGATCTGGGGCTGGCTGAAGCTAGGGGTGATCTGTGGTGTGAAGACTCTGTTGGGGGTGACTCTCTCTTTCTCTTTGTTTCTGTTTCTTGCTCATGGAATAAAGAAAAAAAGAGAAAGAAAGATTTTTTTTTTCTCTTAAAAAAAGATTGAATAAAGAACTTCTGGGCATATAGTAGAGTAAGTTAATGGTGGAGAGCTCTTCTGGTCCAGATCATAGACATGCTGAATAATAAATGCTCGGTAAATTACGGATTTAAAAACAATGGCAGAAACCTGTAGCTGAGTTCAGCAAAAAAAGGGAAACCATCGTCTGCAAAATCAGAAGGGAGATAAAAAAGCTAGAATAATAGTTCTTTAGTGCCTCATCATATGTTTGAGTCTGGTTTTAAGCCTCGGAGTGGGTTTGGTTATTTTTTCTATTTTTACACAAAGTACATGTTTAAAAGGTGTTATTGTGGTATAACTGGTATATAATTTTACATACTTCAAGTGTGAAATTTAGTAAGTTTTGACATACGTGTTTATCCGTGAAGCCATTTTCACAACCAAGGTAATATATTTATCATGTTTGCAAGTTTCCTTGTGCCCGTATATAATTCCCCCTGTACCTTTCTCCATCCTGCTTCTCTACCCAGGCATCCGCTGGCTAGCTCTGTCACCAAGATTAGTTTGCATTTTCTAGGTTTTTATTTAAATGGCATTATATAGTATACACTGCTTTTGTCTGGTTTCTTTCATTCAGCATAATTATCTTGAGATTTGTCCATGTTTTTGTATGAATTAGTTCATTTCTTTTATTGCTAAATAGTATTTAATATTCTTTTATTTATCCATTGGCTTGCTGATGGACATTTGTATTGTTTCCATTTCTTGACTATTAAAAATAAATTCTTGTGGATATTCATGTACTATTTTTTGTATAGACATGTAACTTCCTTTTTCTTGATAAATACCTAGGATTGGAATGGTTGATCACATGGCAGGTGTATGTTAAATTTTTATTTTTCCAGAACCACAAGTTATATTTTATTACACAATAGTAGAGGCAAATTATCTGTAAATAGTAACTGCTTAGAGGATATTATCTAATTAAATAAATATTTTATTTGTATGATTATTCCTTGATAAATTTTAACATTACAAAAAAGAAAATATATACATTGTAGATATATATT